TAGGGCCCTATATGTATATATATAAACATACAAACACAATGACAATTAAGGAACAATTACTATAGAAACTTACCAGTGGACTAACCCCCTACTGTAGCATTTACCGTGAAAGCAGCTGCAGGGCCTCAGGGTTACTGAAACGGAGATAGGCACCACCCTATGCGCCATATAGGCGCGGGAAGGATTTAACTTAACTATAGAAACTGAATGTCATTAGATGACAGAGATCGTAGCTACTAATAGTCAGACCGCTGTGGCAAAACAACAACAAGCAAAGAGAAGCTGCAAGCAACGCACCTCCACGACTACATGTTTGCGACCCTGCATAAGAAAGTCGCCATCTTCGTCATCCATATCCGGCTCCACGGGTGCCGGAATAACGGCCTCCGTGTTCACAACCTGCGACGCGAGCAAAGAATTATATCGGTGACAAAATACGGTGACTGGCGACGGATATGAATAAATGAGAAGGTGTACCACGTATCCCACGTTTCTATGAAATGAATCACCTTTCACGCTACATTTATGCATGCGTAATATCCGTTAAGTGTGTTTTTACCTTGTTTAATTCGTAGAGATCTCTGTTCCTGGTCAATGTATCTATGATACCCTTTTGGATGTCCTCTGCCTGGAATGCCTAAAAACAAAGGGTATATTTTAATCATTCATCCTGTGCTACAATTTCATGAAGATAAAAACAAAGGGTCTGATTATACCTCGCAATGTACACGCAATGTAACGAAATGAAATGCGATGTAACATCTGTAACATTACGTAATGTTGTGTAAATGTAACATAAACGTAATGTCACATATGTGTAAACTATATATGCTATATATATGTCACTATACAGGCTCATTACCTAAAAGTAATCTGCAGAGTACTTTATAAACTTACAGAACTCTGACCTTTGACCTTTGGTATTTGTGGTGGAGGCAGAGCAGCAACATAAACTGCTGTTCCAGTCTAGAACGAAAATCATACGAATAACGTTTCTGTTGTATATCATATTAAACATAGACCTGCTAATTTGTCTGAAGAGAATAATTTATCTGAGAGTAACTAATTTCATAAAATGCCCACCACTACACTTTCATGTCCACGTTTCTACACATGAGTGACAACTTACTGCAACGCCAACCATCAGCAAGTCACCGACCGACACTTCCACCTTTAGTCCGAAGATGGCATTCATGCCTTTCAGCTTTAGTGTTGTTAGCAGACGCCTGTGTAACTCGTACTCCATAAACGGTAGCCTCTGCAAAACGCAATTTTTTTTGCAAACCCCTTGCATCTAATAGCATCTGCTTCGGAAATAGGTGTTGCATTTGACTACGCTAAACTGAGCTGTTAACTTATTTGCTGTGTAAGAACAGCTGTATGACATCTAACAAACTAACAGTTATTATGTTCTGTAAGACCTCAGATTATACTTGGTTATACGTACATCACTTATTTCCTTAGCATTCTGCTCGCCTTTAACTTCTTTCTTTACCCTGCAAACCCTAAATTAAATAGCAGATTTGGTTAAAAATAATAAAGAACATAATTAAATAGATTAATAAAGGAAAACACATTTAATAAACTAATTAGGTATAATTACAATAAATTCTGAATGCTGATATGTAAAATTTTTCCACGTTTGTGTAAAAATACCATAATCTCAACGAAGATGAAATTCACATTGTTTTGCACATGAAAACTCTTCTTGGATGTTGGATATTTTTATGCCAATCTTGCTATATCATCTCACTTAGCCTGAATGAGTGTGCCTTTCCCAATCGTCTGAATCTCCTCTGGTGGCTCCAGGGTTGTAAATAGCACATCTGGCACTAGACTATGTCTATAGGAAAGATTCGTATGTACTTTAAGACATGACCTTATTGAATATGTAATGGTGTATATGCCATGTAACGCTACCTAGCTTTGATTTTAACCAATAAATATTCCCTTTTCTCTTATTACTATTTTTAAATTTATTCTGTCTCCCTTGACATGGTTTTTCAGACACCTCTTTGTGTTGAACACTGTATGAAAGAAATGTGCGATAGCATATCACAAAGACGTGTGATTTTATGTTTAACGCAATATAAACACAAGGTATATATGGACAAAATTATGTTTTTGATCATTCCTTACACGTCACAGACGAGTTCATATCTTAAATTCCCGTTGCTAGTACACCTATGCCATTCCCGTCCACCCAAAGATCGTCACATCACTCTTCTGCTCTGATGCACATACGTACCTACAGACGCCACACTTGTTGAGGTTCGTAGGGAATGGAAGACTATTCTCCGTGTACGGAACGTGGCACAACGAACACCCGATAGCAGCATCCTCACTGCAACAGCAACACGCTACAATCACAGACACATTTCAAATCATGCCATGGGTTGAATCTTTCCAACGTTAAAACAAAAACACTCATATATCCGACATTACCTTTCTCGTTCTCAATGCAATTACGACCAGTTCAGCTTTTGATATACGTGCGGTAATATCCCTGCGGTACGATAACACGGGTTACGTAAATTTGCACTCAAGTGATTTGTAAATGATGACTGCTTTATTCGCGATGCGAAGGGCAAATGGGACAACATGATTCAATGTTATTCGTGTCACAAAATTTTTGACGTTGCGAACGTTTTTCTGGAACACAGTATTTTCATTATACGTAGCACCAAACCTATTATCAGCATGGAATCACTCGATCATGATCACAACAACGCGCACTGGCTCGAATTGCATGCGTATACGAATGCACTGGCTAACGTAGCATCACACATGCCTGTTGCTCCTCTGACTTCCCCAGCTCTGGTCGACATTGTGAGCATTGGCAAGGTTAACGTCGACGCGTAGCACCTTCTCCACCCTCTCCTTCTCGACGGCGTCCTTCTTCTCTGCCGAGCGCAAAAGGTTGGTCGGCGGCGGAGGATGCAGGATGCCGGCGTCTGCGGAGTCTGCGAGCTGGGGCTTCAGACTGACGATGGCGGCCGTGCCTATTGCCGACAGCACGCATATCTCCTCGCTGCGAGAGAGTGAACAGATGTTACACGCGACGCAGCGGGCTCATCTAGAACTGCCAGTTGTATATATCGAGCTACTGAGTAAAGAGTCATTTCAATTGGGCTACGCACACAGATTGATAGTCATTCCGATTGGTTCGTGGACAAAGATCGTCATTCTGATTGGCTCACGGACAGAGACAGGTAGCCATTCTGATTAGATCACGTGCGACAATAACCATTCTGATTGGCTCCCACGTATAGATTACCACTCTGACTGCGCTCTTCACTCTTACTTACGTCAAGTAACTACACTCACCAGATGCTGGTGGATTCAGAGTAACCTAGTACAGCGTTACAACTCAGGGCTTTCGCGTGAGAGCGCATCTCCATCCTCAACTCCATCCACCAGGCGTCTCTAGTCTCCGGCTCCTCTGCAAAACGGGAGCGGAAGACATGTCAAACAGCGTCATTTAAAATTAACACCTCTCGAATAAATCGGGAAATAAAAACGCAGCGAGATATCAGCCCCCCCTATATAAGTTTCAATACACAGCTAATGTCATACATCTACTAAATGTTAGTGAAGCTGAGAGGGTCTATGTACCCGAGGGTACTGCCAGAACGTACCCTGGGTACGGTACCGGACCGTACCCTGGTACTATCTAATATGCCAGACCGTACCTCGCCTACTCCACTAATGAGTCTAGGGAGTCGCCTACGCCTACTCCCCAACCCTAACCCTAACCATATCAGATAGTTACCAGGGTACGTTCCGGTATACCGGACCATACCCAGAGTATAAGTTCCGGCAGTGCCCTGGGAGACATAGACCCTATGAGCGTTAGTGAAGATGTAGATTTTAGGAACATTAACTAATAATATATTAAACCTCATTTCCACCTCCTAAATATGTCTGCTAATAGGCGATCACCTGGGTTGTGTATCTTGTCTAGAAGTTTGACAGATCTTGCTGAAACGACACCTCCGATATGCAACACAAAACCAGGTGGAAACCATTTCATCGTCACAAACGGATACTCCTGCAACAATCAACCGCAGAAACACGTTTTACTGACAACCTGTAAATGCTACTTGTCCTTGAAGAGCAGGTGAAGGACTTGGAAAAAAGGTATTGGAAAAGGGTAGGCTACTAGCATACGTATCAAAATCAGGTTTGTTGTAACTTTAACTCTAAAACTGCTTATATGATTTCTCTCGAAACAAGTATTGTTAGGCTATCATCAGATTTCTCTAATTCTGGAAAATGATGCAATAAATATCTTAACTCTCAAATACTCTCTATTGTTTGTGTCTTACAGATGTGGTGGTTGCTAAGTCAAGATATGTATGTATACACTGCACACACACGTCATTTATTACATACCAGCATCTCAAACGGTTGTTGTTGGTGTAAAGGCAAGCTCTGCCTTATTGTTCTCGTCCCAGTGGAAGGCGGCACATTTACTACAACTTGTCCTGTTGAGACAGACGTGATAGCAGAAATCACCAGCATCACTTAATATCTTGATGGTACAGTTTATCGTGGCAATGTGATATAGGTCACACGCTCATTCTACAGTTGCTAGCAAGCTACACATGCTGTTAGCAATAAATCTACCTAATATAACATGGTGGTCCACAACATTGTAAACCGGCACATATGAAAATTCACTCGGTATACCGGAAAACAATATATAACTTTTCTATACTATATATGTGTGTTCATATATATATTATAATATATGTTCCCTGACATTACCTCTAGGTGGAGTGCCAGTTTCGGTATCGGACAGCCTTCTTTGAGAAAGAACCTCGTGGGTTTTCGTTGGAGATGAGGAGATAGTGGCTGGAGTCGCCATGGTGACGGGCGAAGTAGGAGATGCCACGCTTTCCTCGGGGAGTGGGGACCTACACACAAATAAATGCCGAACGATGCCACCGCTTTCCTTGGATGTACAACAAGCTCGAGTTGGAGAGCAATGAAAAGTCGCAGTGATGTCAGTCCTGAGAGGATATGTAGGGTTTTATAGCATCAACAGCTATACCCATGTGTTATTATCTCTACTATAATAACACTCAGGTATACCTAGGTATTATTAGCTCAACCATAATAATACTTAGGTATACGTAGGTATTATTATAGTTACATAATTAGGTCTCGATAGTGCGACACTCACTGCTTCAGGTCCTCCTGCAGAAGATTAGGGGAATGTGACATGCTAGGCGGTCCCCGGGCGAGGGTAACGGCCGTTCCGATGCCTCGCACGACGATGCCCGATTCTCCTTCAAGGTCAAAGCACTGAAGGTATCCGATGACAGCCGTACCCTTCAACTCTAACACCTTCAGTCCGATCTTACGCTGCAACTCTCCTGCGCGAAAAGTTGGCAATTCAATAGAGATTTATGTTGCACAATTAAACGACTTTAAGTACTCGTTATATTATCAGCAGTGATAGATATTTTTATCGCATAATGCCGTCAGACATATTTTGTAATGGCGACACAAACGCTAAGCAGTCTGAATCATGGATGGCATCATGATATTCTACTCAAGTGACAAGTACTAACTAGAACGATTGTCCCCTAGATGGACTAATAATCCCCCCCCCCCAATTCGAGCTGTTATGGTGCCTGTGATATGTGAGAGCATGACTGGTGACGCTCATCTGGAACCGATGCGATTGTATGGCAAAGCAGGTGGTATTAATGAATGGAAGTCGCAGGGCCTGTGGCTGCATAGGGCTGGTTACTATAGACACTTATGACTCAGTAGTGGATGGGCAGGTACATATGAAATCAACAAGATTCGTTGTGGAGGTAATAGTGGATTATAACCACATGTTGGGCTGTTATTTATATGTGCGCTTATCTCAAGGGGGGCTATTGTTGGCCAAAACAGCTGGCACGAATTAAGGCAGGGGGGGGGGGCAGCGAATTTGATTGTACTCGAGTGGGAACGTGTGGGTGCTATCAACGACTGGGTAGTGGCTGGGCAGTTATGTATAAAGTGGGGTGATGCTCCATTAGGAGCGTTCCCAACTTTAATGTCATTAATGTCGTGATATAAAAGAGATATAAAGAGGGGGGGATCGATATCAATTAGATATCAAGGGGGGGTTAGATATGAAATAGATATCAAGGGGGGGTGGATCGATATCAATTAGATATCAAGGGGGGGTTAGATATGAAATAGATATCAAGGGGGGGTGGATCGATATCAATTAGATATCAAGGGGGGGTTAGATATGAAATAGATGTCAAGGCGGGGGTTATAGAGGGTATATAGAGGGAGCAAGCAACATTGAGACTGGGGTATGTTCGCTTCGTTTCACTGGACTTCGTTGCTCGAGCAAGCCAAATACAGAGCGGGGCCATGTTCGCTTCGTTTCGCTGGACTTCGTTGCTCGAGCAACCGAAATACACAGCGGAGCCATGTTCGCTTCGTTTCGCTGGACTTCGCTGGACTTCGTTGCTCGAGTAAGCTTGGCTTGGCAGTTATGTATGAAATAATCCACTAGATGGCATCAGCATGTCATATATAACCAAATGGGTTTATTTACGAAAAACGGCCAAGAATCTTTCCGAAAATGTCGGACGCAAAACATTAATCGCAGGTCGACAACTACCTTGGGTACTGATGTGTACCAAATATGGTTGAAATCGGTCCAGAACTTTTCGAGGAGATCTGTGCACAAGGCTGGTGTCGGACAGACAGACAGAAGACAGGGTGATTCCAGTATACAGTAATCAAATTATTAATTAATTAATTAATTGGTTAATAAAATTATTCCAGTAATAATTCAGGGAATAATTGAAGGTGCCTCCCCTCAAAATTTCAAGCGGAAAACATAAAATCAGGCAAAAATGAACTATTTTAACATTGCACATTTCTACTTGCCTATATATGTTTGATAGGCCCGGGAATACGTTCATTCGAAGCTTTTAGACTACAACGTGAAAGTGTCGGGTCGAATGTTTCAAACAGCGTTTACTTTTTCTGCTGTGTGGCAATGTTGTGACGCGTCTCTTGTTGCCATACGGTGTTGCCGTGATGGTGAAGGCTGCACGTGCTCATAGATATTATAACACATGTGTTATATGATATCTATGGCTGTGCTGGTTACGTGACCTGCGTCGACTCTTGGCGCCATGATACAGAACCGCAGCGAAACGCGTTTTTCGAGTTGTTTTTTTCGTTGAGCAAATATAGGTTTGATACATATTTTTACAGTTTTATTTTCAAAGCTAACATTCAGTTAAAGTGTAGCGAGTTATTTACTTACGTTTTTACAGTGGTTTGTCACAAAAAAAGTGCATTGGAAGGCATCTTTAAGCTGCATACATGATAATTTAGAGAATAATCATAATAATTAAATAACAATTATAATAATCAGGTAATAATTATAACAATTTAGAGAATAATTAAGTCGGATACCCGATAATTTTGAGAAGAGCCGCTGTCTAGCTTCGTTGGAAGCCCTCGGTGTGCGGATCTTGTCAATCCACTGATACTCAGGGTCGTCGTTGACAACGAGTTCCTCGACGAAGCCGTGGACGGCGAGGATTTGCATACCGTATGGAATCCCGGCAGCTGCGGCAGGGAGGACAGCGATTACGCGCGATGAGACCAGGGTAAAAAATACACATGAGCGATGAGCGATTCGCTCTTCGAACCTCCGAAATCGCTCCCGTGAGGCTCAAAATAGCTCACGTAAAATTATTGACGAGAGCTATTTTTTCCACAGACTTTTGAAAAAGAGCTCCCGTGAAAAAAAAGAAATGTTTTCCCTGGATGAGACGCGATGCTGCTGCCACCTATACTGCCGCGAATCGCATGGGGATACGGTACAGTATGCGAATATATACTTAATCCTGTTATAGTCTTGGGGCTCATTGTCAAAAACCTAATTAGTCTTAACATTACTCTTCTGCAGTCGCAGTGACAGTACATTTTGCATGAATGAAACTCATGTGGATATTAGCACACTCTTAAAACAACTGTCAATAAGTAACGCTCGTAGGGTCTATGTCCCCCTGACCTCTGTTTGACCTGGCTCGTTTAGCTATTTCTGACTAACCCTAACCCTAACCCTAACCTTAACCCTAACCCTAGCCCTATATATATTATATATTATATATATATATATATATTAGTCAGAAATAGCTAAACGAGCGAGGTCAAACAGAGGTCAGGGGGACATAGACCTTATCTGCATAAGTAACTCACTGCAGTAAAATTGAATGCCACAGGAAGACTGCTTGAATTTGTTGAAGTCAGTGAACAGGTCAACTTTGGCTGTTACTCGAATTTCACCACGTATGCCTGAAATGAAAAAAAATAGATTAGAACACTGTTATTTAAAAAATAAATGATCACATCCTACAACTTAAATCTAACATGAATACTTATAATTAAGAATATTGTATGTGATTAATTCAGGAGGCAGTTATTTGACCTGAAAGAAGGAGCTAGAGGAAATAAGGTAAATGGATGCAATCGCTTCCTGCTGTGCAGAAGGCAAAGAAAGGATTAGCAAATCGATTCAAAGATATTGGTTATAGTTGTGTACCTAATGCACTTCACCAATTCTTAGCACAACTAATGGCATTCTTGCTAACTGCCATTCGAGTTGTTTTATATCAGAAACCTTCAGTGCATGTCTAATTTTTGCCTCTTTTTGGCTATCGAGATAATGTATTTCGTTCCACAATTAGACGTGCGATGACGATTCCTGATATAAATCAACTTAAATGGCGGTTATTAACAAGAAGGCCAGTCTATACTTTCAATTTTTTTTAATTAGACGTAATGACATGTTATAGTAACGTGTTGTGATAAAAAAATTTGGGAATGACAACCTCAGTAATTTTAAGGTTTTATATCGGGTTTATAGTCATGATTGTCATTTTATGAAACGAGAACTTTACATTTTGCTTTTTTATTCTGAAAGAGACAATTTCAGAAATCCCTCTACATAAACACATGCAAACCCATGGCAACAAGCACGCATGCACGCACACACGCACGCAGTATCTGTGTCAGGTCAACAATTTCATTTAATGCCACAGGCACTTGGAGCGTCTCAATTAAGAAAAATAATGTTAAATAAACACGAAATGTATTTACTACTAAAGTCTTAATGTTTCTCTACTCTCTTTCGCCTATTATTGCCGATAATTCCCTGTAAATGCTGTTCAAATGCTCCTCTGCAACACACATGTACACCGCACGCACGTCACTGCATGTTTACACATATATATAAACGTGCAGTGACGTGCATGCGGTGTGTACATGTGTGTTGCAGAGGAGCATTTGAACAGCATTTACAGGAAATTATCGGCAATAATAGATGAAAGAGAGTAGAGAAACATTAAGACTTTGGTAGTTAATACATTTCGTGTTTATTGAGCATTATTTTTCATTATTCAGATACTCTAAGTGCCTGTGTTTAATGCGGGGAGCTGCGTGAAATCGTTTATATAGGGGGCATACAGTAAGCCTCCGCAAGCATTTCGGCAAGTGGCGTAGCCATGGTGACCAGTCGGTCATTTTTGTGCATGAAACGGGATCTGACTACTCTGTAGAAATATATGTGTCATAGAACTAGCAAAAGTTTCGAATGGAGTATAGAGCTTGAATCTGTGGTTATTTAACATGAATAAAGTGTATGTTAGCCTATGTATGCGACAAACCAATGAGTATTTTTAATAAATTTCTGCTCGATGCTTATTCAGGCCTGCTACCTATGGACACCTTCTACAGTTGTACAACACCTATAGAGCTTCTTTGCCAAACGATACAGCCAACAGATGGCAGCACAGTTAATAGATCCAGCGCACTGTTATTCGAGCACAGTAAACATTCCCACATGTGCCGCCTTGGTAGCGCAGTAGGCAGCGCGTCAGTCTCATAATCTGAAGGTCGTGAGTTCGATCCTCACCCGGGGCACAGCTTTTTTTTCCGATATTTTGCACTAATAATAATAATATTATTATTAGTGTAAAATATCAGAATTTTTTTTTCTACACTGAAGATGCTATTAACAAAAACATGGCTTTATATAATTCAAGAATATGTCTTAGCTACTAGCTAGATCACTATTGATTATTGATTGATATATTGATTAATGCGGTTTTCAAACAAATACCAAAACAATACTCGGCTGATTTGTATTTTAAAGTAATAAAAGGGTATTGTTTGATGTATGTATATAATACAAACATAATATAATACAATTATATAATATATAATATCACACGCACACGCACACGCACACACACACGCGCGCTCGCGCACGTAGTGATAAATATTCATTTATCAGTGGCGTATTCAGAAATTGATGAACAGGGGGGCAAAATGTACCTATACCGAATGTGGCCTACGGCACGCCAGCGCGAGATGGGTCTGGGGGCATGCTCCCCCAAAAAAATTGAAATATTTAAGCCATTTTCCTGCAATCTGAGGCATATTGTGGGCCATATTCTGATGTCTGATGACACTATCTCAACCCTAGACTCAACCTTACAATTTAGGATTTAAAACACTTTGCATGACTTTTCAGAGAGCGTACACGCCTGAGGTTTGGTTACTATAGTAATAATACATGTATTAAAGCACAGGTAAGAATTAACACAAGATATAACTTGATAAGTCCTTTAACATGTTTAATGGCACTAAAACGAAACAGACTTGATCATGTTGATGATTAGCTCCGATTGGTACACAGGTCAGGGTGAGAAGTCAGTGTGACAATTAGGCCTACTAATATTGCCACTGAGATGTTCAGGTCAGGATTGTGTGTTCGGGACCTTAAGCGTCCTCTATGGAGTTTGCCAATAGCTACCTTCGAGGCTTCCTTCTGATGAAGTTGGTGACCACCTTATCCATTTGCAAAGGGAGGTCCTTGTGGAGCAAACAGAAGCAGGAGGGCGTTCAGTCTGACGTTACCCCTGAAGACCCACTGCTACTAAAAAGATTTTTTTTAAAGTTTTATTGATTTTTTTTCTGGACGTGCAAACAGGGGGGGGGGCGTACGCCGGCTCCGCCCTATGCTGCATGGATACGCCACTGCTTATGTTCACGACGCTGGTATTTCAGTCGTCGTTAACAAATCGCCGACAGACATCGTTTGTTTTCTTTTGTTCATCATGTCATGGCATCATTCCCGATATATTCACACCAAGAAAATGCGCTCTCACTATACCTAATTCTGCATACTTATTTGCACGCACTCACTCGCATACACACAAATATGCACGTATGTGTGGGAGTACCCGACTATGCAAGCATCCATCTTCGGCATTAGTTCCACAGCGTGCGTATTGCTAATTTTACGCCCCAGGTAAACCTCTAAGCAGGAGATGTGAGACTAACTGCATCTGCAGCGCTGAGAGTGCAAAGCCGCTGCAAAAACACATGCTAAGTAAGATATTAACCACCTGGTGCCGGTACTTAATTGCCTTTTAGGTAGTGTTGATTCGGAAAGCTCAGTGTGAAGCAGTAAGCGTACGCAGTTGAACGTAGTGGATCAACGAGTAAGAATCCAAAACTAGGAGTTCAACGGAAATGTAACTGGCATCTCTCTCGCCAGCCGCGCAGACGAGTTTCTCTTTCTTCTATGTCGATATTACACATTTCTCTCAACTAAAACAGGTTCTCTGCCTTTATAGGTATCTTACAGCGAGTATATCTGGTAGGATTTTACCTACAGGCGCAGCATACATGTTGCGACGCACAAAGCCCAATAATTTGTGTTTTTTCTCTATTATTTGTGTATTATTTATGTTGCTTTCGTGACGCATTACGTGGTAATTATTGCGGTCACCATGAATGCTATCTATGTGCATCGTCGTGTCGAATGTGCAAAATTCCATAGTCATTACAGTAATGATATGTCCGCCAGTGTAGAACCGGAGTAAGAAGATCGGCAGTGACAAACAGTCACACCAGAAATGATGCAGATAACTGCATGTTTACGCAATATTGCCATCTTGTTATCACATGTTGCTATTTCGAGGTTGCTAAGATGCCCATTAAAATACAATATAGCATTTCGGTAGCGGGTAATGGCGAGAAAGAAAGACGAGAGGAAAGAATGGCATAGAAATTACTAGTAGTTATAGTAACAGATTCTCACTACAGAGCGAGAGAGAGAGAGAGAGAGAGAGAGAAAGAGAGAGTGAGAGAGGGAGAGAGGTCGTGGAAGAAGAGAGAGAGAGAGAGAGAGCGAGAGAGAACGAGAGCGAGAGAGAGCGAGAGCGAGAGAGAGCGAGATCGAGAGGTATGGGTCATGAAAGGGAGAGAGATACAGAGAGGAAGGAGGGGCAAACAGAGACAGAGGCAGAGTTACAGACAGACAGGTTGAAAGAGGGCGAGAGAGAGAAGTGATGAGTGGAAGGGGTGGGGGAAGGTACTACATACACTAACATTAAATACACCGAAGGAAAGATGGCACAGGGAATTTAAAGAGCGAGAGAGAGAAAGAGAAAGAGCGAGCGAGAGAGAGAGAGAGAGAGAGAGAGAGAGCGCGAGCGAGCGAGAGAGAGAGAGAGAGAGAGAGAGGGGGGGGGAAGGAGAGAGAGAGAGCAGTGATTCGTGCTTCAGCTTAAATCCACGTAAAATCGAGAAAATAGTGGCGCGATATGCGTTGCGGGCGACTGCCGCTGTTGCTGACGCTCTAGCACGACGGGCCGAGCAAACCCGAACCCACTCGTCGAGAATTTAGGACGACTAAACTGAGTGACTTCGAATTTCCCTGCGATAGAAACCGGACCGTGACACCGGACCGCTTGGCCAGGAGGGGGAAAATAAAACCGTGCACGCAGCAGAGATGGCGCGCATGCGTTATGCCACGGCTAAAAAAGTGTTACACCACACCACGCGTTCATCAATGTCGAGGCCTAGATCTACACGCATTACTCTAGTGTTACTAGATAATATATAATATATACATATACATCAAACAATACCCTTCTATTACTTTAAAATACAAATCAACCGAGTATCGTTTTGGTATTTGTTTGAAAACTGCATTAATCAACATATCAATTAATAATCAATAGTGATCTATAGTGGCTAAGACATATTATTGAATGCATATATGCCTCTCACCATGCATTGTGTCAAATATAGGAAACCAGCCAGAGAATTCTGTCACAGCAGCAGAGATGAGCAGAGGGTTGAGATCGATGTACACCATTCCTATTGAATCGTTAGCACTGTATGTATCATAGTCTAACACCCTGTAGTATAAAGTCAAAAACAACGTTATCAACAACAAGTCAGATGATGACACAGAATATAACAAAATGGGGAAAAAACATGAATATATTTGCGTGTGACATAATAAATCACACAAAGTGAGAGCAAATTCCCATGTGACAAGTGTGATATATAGTGACAATGTAATGTTGTGAGAATTAAACATAATCCAATCATTTTCTATCACCCATTGTCCAAGAGCCCAATTTAGTGGATTTTTTTTTACGTTACTAGCCGAGTGATAAAACAATTAAAATAAGATGGCGGCCATCACCTAAGCTGGAGAGGTTCGTCCTGCAATTCTTCGTCGTCGACTTCAAACCTGAAGTATTCCGAATCCCACTTAGGATTCAGCGATTTACGGAATACTTCCGTCTTGTAGGTGGTGTTGCCAAATTTTACCTGAATTATGAAAGCGTACTTCAATCGCTGTTGGCGCTGAAATTCCTGTTTCCTTTTTCGTGCCACCCGCACTTAATTTTAAATAATAATGTAATTAATGAGCCCAGTTGTGTTACAGGCTTACGTAGCTGAGCACACAGATGCACCAGAATAGAGGAATATGGCTTCAGTCCTAATATGGCTGAAGTCATTCTTCATAAACGTCATTAACAAATGCGATTTTGACGGACGCGTAAACTTATGCATCATTTATTCAGCGGGTTCCCATTACCTCCACGAATGCATCCGTGAGGTCACTGGCACGATCCATGACAGGAAGGTTGCGACCTTCAATAACCTTCACCTTCAGTTTTCCAGGCATGGCTAGGAATCACTTCTCTGATTGTTGGCAAGTACTACTAGCTGTGATGATCGTGGAGAGCGCTACAATTAAGTAGGGGTAATGTTAGTGCTCTTTGTATATGATAAATAATGTCAGCAGTAGGGCCGAGGGGGCCCACTCCAATACTAAAGTGGTACGCATGCTCGTCAGAGCATCTCAAAATTGGACCCTAAATGGCATATTCAGCGTTAGCAAATTTCACCCCTTATTGCCGTAAGATAATGTAAATCTTACCCCTAAATGGCGTAAGACACTAAAACAGACCCCTAAATGGTGTAGCACAATAAATTGGTCCCTTAATCATGTTAATTGTGTAATTAGATAGAAAGTTCCCCAGCAACAGAGATAGAAAGCTTCCCAGCAACAGAGATAGGAAGATCCCCAGCAATAGAGGCAAGTGCGAGGAAGGGGGACTAAAGGCCCGTCTCCACACACGCGGCGCGGCACGGAACGCCACGGAAACGGTGTCGTTCACCCCTACCGGCAAAGTTCAAATCAATTCTATTATATCTTATAGCGCAGTCTCCACTGACATGGCACGGCGCCAGCCAGGTTTCACGGCGACGGCGAAAAGACAATTGAACCAATCAACGCGATTGTTTTTTTATCACGTGTTCTGCTCACGCTACCATCAGCCAATGGACAACAAGCACATGCATAATTTCTGATCACTGAACCAGAGTGAACACAATGCGCTCTGACACAATGCGTGAAATCACAATGTATTTTTTTTCAGCACAACGGTTGTATCGTGTCGTGCCGCGTGTGTGGAGACGTAGCTTTACACCACCCAGGCATCGCCGACATCTGAGCCACAGGTGGGCCAGCGTGGTACTGCCAGGGTCCTACGTCACAGCCAGACTGCTATATAAGTAGCCACGAATCGCTGGTAAAAGCGTGTTTTCGGCCACGAGCTCGAGAGAGCAACACACCGTAAGAAGTCACCTATGAGCTCAGTTGAGCAAGACCGACGACGAATGGGAACAAGACCAGAAGGTATACCTAATAAGAATAAGGCGGTTAATCACGAGCCGAGCAGCACATCAACAGCTTTGAGGCGTAAGGTCTTAAACAAATTGGGGAGCCACGCTTCTATCAACGCGAATGAGGAGCGGCAGCAACCAACGAGGAGCAAAGAAATCGAAAAGCCACGTCCATCGTTTACAAGACTTAGAATAGATATTAGATAAGACGATCATTTAATTAAAATAAGCAAAGTAAATGTTAACATAAGTGTATATATATTCTATAATTTAGATACACCCAGTACATGTTATTCGTGTATCAGGCAATAAAATAGTTAATTGTATAATTAAGATATACAGACTTTGTTTCATGTTACTCTGGGGTTTTCTTGCTACTGCATCGCTGTCATGCCTATACCCGTAACTATACGGTGCGAGCTAAAATTTATCCCAAATCAAATAAATTCCACGTGTTGACACTTAGCACATGGGAAAATCCAGTTGCGGCCACCGCTAGGGCCACTACAATGTTTACATTGGCTTGCATACAACACTTGCTGACTATACACTAGCAAATCACATCACACAACAAGCTGAATGCGCAATATGATAATAGCACAGTGTGCGAACATTATAACAGTAACAAGTTACAGAAGTACCTGTTCTTTAAGTCATATCATCTTCTGACTTTCAGCTGTTGAATCAATATATAAACTTGCCGTTGTAGATTTCATTTTTTCTTCTGTAATCATCTTTGCGTCTATCGGTAACATTTGGGAAGATGATTTAATCACAAATATTATGCTTACAGTTACAATAGGCCTAATAGACAATGCCTTGGGCTAGGATAAGGTCAGTTTTTCCCTTTTGGCACTATTCGTACAGCATATAACATAAGGCCTCCTTAAGACAAAGACAGACTGCAGCGACAGCGACCGACCGTAATGACAAACAACTTTTCAGAAAATTAGAAACTATTGTTTCCTACGAGCCATTGCACACACACGCGACAACGACCGGCGACAACCTCAACGACAAAAATATTTAGGAATGTTTCTATTCTCCAGCGACAGTCGCCAGCGACACTTTACAAATAGCCAATCGCAGCCGTTGCCATTGGCACGTGACATTACGATTACGTCATAAAAAAACCCATAATGCTATAGCCTAGACTGGTCCTCCAGCGCAAAACTTGCGACGCATGTCACAAACAATGAAGCCGCGAACCAGTCTAACCAAAGCGTGCAGCTGTGGCAAGCTACGATCACTGTATGACACAGTATACGTACAGTACATGATAATTTGCTGCGTATATTTTACTTTATTATCTTATCCTTATTCCTTATACCTAGAGTTTTTGAAGCCTGTTACTTAAAAGCAGCAGCAGGAGCTTTGCCGTTTGTTCATGTGATGATGTGTACACTGTAGTCTGTACCACTGTGGGATATGTGCTGGGTGAACTTTGACCCAACGTCGGTCGCTGTCGCTGCAGTGTGTTTGCGCCAGTCGCTGTCGCTGCAGTGTGTTTGCGCCAGTTGCTGTCGCTGCAGTGTGTTTGCGCCAGTCGCCGCGACTTTTGTCGTTTGTCGTTACGGTCGGTCGTTGTCGCTGCAGTGTGGCTGCGCCAGTTGCCACGACTGTTGTCGTTTGTCGTTACGGTCGGTCGTTGTCTTTGTCGTTTGTCGTTACGGTCGGTCGTTGTCGCTGCAGTGTGGCTGCGCCAGTTGCCACGACTGTTGTCGTTTGTCGTTACGGTCGGTCGTTGTCGCTGCAGTGTGGCTGCGCCAGTTGCCACGAC